TCTTTCTTTCTTTCTTTCTTTCTTTCTTTCTTTCTTTCTTTCTTTCTTTCTTTCTTTCTTTCTTTCTTTCTTTCTTTTTAATATTATGTAATCTCTACGGCCAATGTAGGGCTTGAACTCATGATCCCTGAGACAAAGAGTCACATACTCTACTGACTGAGCCAGCTAGGTGCCCCTAGGCAGATTATTTCTTTAATAACTCCTTTTCATTGTGACAATAACATAGTTTACTTAGTAGGAAACCTGATATTACTGAAAAATATAAAGATGATAAAAAGATACCCCTGGTTCCATTTCCCAAAAATGGTCTTTGAAGTCATCTTGCCTAGATTCAACTCTGACTCCAGACATCTAACCTCTCAGTTTTTCTCATCAGTAAAATGCAAATAGATTAGTACCTGCCTATGTAGTAGGAATATTGTTAGGATTAAATGTATAAATGTATGTGAGGGTACTTGGGTGACTTTGTTTAGGCATCTGACTCTTGATAATAGCTCAGCTCTTCATCTCAGTGTTGTGAGTTCGAACACCTCTGGAGCCTACTTAAAAAAACACACACACACACACACCAAGAAATGTGAATGCATGTAAAATTCTTAGAGTGCCTGGTACATATGTGCTCAAATATTAACTGCTATTATTTTGTCTTTTCCATTTTATTTTTTATTTCTATTACTATATATAAACATATATCCCATAAATATCACTATATTTAAATATATATTTTATAGAGATTATTTTAATAGTTAAGTGATTTATTACCTTTATCATATTTCTTTTGCTATTTGAGTTGTTTGCTATTATAAATAGTGTAACAGCAAACATCTTTGAGTATAAGGCTTTTCACACAGAGATTATATCATTTGGAAAGAGATCAAAAAGTACAGGGGTGCCTGACTGGCTTACTACTAGAGCACGTGACTTGATCTCAGGGCTGTGAGTTGAAGTCTCAGCTTGGGCATGGAGCCTACTTAATAAAATAAAAAATAAAAAAATTTAAAAGGTAGAATTATAATTCAAAACATATGAAAATCTAAAAAAATGTTGCTCTTGGGACACCTAGGTGGCTCAGTCGGTTGCACATTTGCCTTTGGCTCAGGTCATGATCCCAGGGCCCTGGGGTCAAGTCCTACATCGGGCTCCTTGCTCGGTGGGGAGCCTGCTTCTCCATCTACCTGCTTCTCCCTCTGCATGCCGCTCCCTCTGCTTGTGTTCTCGCTATCTCTCTGACAAATAAATAAAATCTTTTTAAAAAATGTTGCCCTTAACTTTCTTTTCTAATGAAATTTTTTTTAAGATTTTATTTATTTATTTGACAGAGAGATATCACAAGTAGGCAGAGAAGCAGGCAGAGAGAGAGGAGGAAGCAGGCTCCCCGCTGAGCAGAGAGCCCGATGCAGGGCTCGATCCCAGGACCCTGGGATCATGACCTGAGCCGAAGGCAGAGGCTTTAACCCACTGAGCCACACAGGCGCCCCTCTAATTAATTTTTTTGAGTAGATAATATTTAGAACAGTTTTTTTTGTAAGCAATATTTAAATATGGTATAAAATTCAAAAGTTACAAGAAGATATATCATGAAGAATAACTCTCATTCTTATTTCTGTTCCTCAGTCATTCAGTTATACTTCCTGGAGTCATTCACTCTTAGCAGTCTCTGTATATCCTTTCAGCAGAGAAAATCTGTACATATATAAGCATATATATTTGTACTTAAAAACATGTACATTTACAAATGCTAGCTAGTAAATATGACATTTAATTTTTTTACCTTATTTATACAATATATTATAAATTATTAAATAACACCACAACCAAAATTGCCCTGTTTTAAAAGAACAGCTCATGGCAGTCTCTTGAATTGATGTTTTACAGTTTATTAATTAGTCACATATAGATGATAGTTTATGTTGTTTCTACACTTTTATTACTATGAACTGCCAACAGTGAATATCTTCATTCATATGTCTGTATACCATATATCTATGAATAAATTCCTACAAATGGAAATACTAGTAAAAAATAATGTTTTTTTTTAAAGAATGTTTTGATGTGTTTGATGTGTGCATTTTAAATTTGGGTAAGGGGGCACCTGGGTGGCTCAGTGGGTTAAGCTTCTGCCTTCTGCTCAGGTCATGATCTCAGGGTCCTGAGATTGAGCCCCACATTGGGCTCTCTGCTCAGCAGGGAGCCTGCTTCCTCCTCTCTCTCTGCCTGCTGCTCTGCCTACTTGTGATTTCTCTCTGTCAAATAAATAAATAAAAATCTTTAAAAAAATTTAAATTTGGGTAAGTATTGCCGAATTTTGTAGTGGCTATACCATTTTATACTCTGATTAAAAGTAGATGAGAGAGGGACGCCTGGGTGGCTCAGTGGGTTAAAGTCTTTGCCTTTGGCTCAGGTCATGATCCTAGGATCCTGGGATCGAGCCCCTCATCCGGCTCTCCACTCAGCCGGAAGCCTGCTTCTCTTCCTCTCTCTCTGCCTGCCTCTCTGCCTATTTGTGATCTCTGTCAAATAAACTAAAAAAAAAAAAAAAAAAAAGTAGATGAGAGGGCACTCCTGGATGTCTCAGTCAGTGGAACATATGACTCTTGAGCTCCAGGTCACAACTTCAAGCCCCACACTGAGTGTAGAGTTTACTTTAAAAAAAAAAAAGGTGGGGTGCCTGGCTGGCCCAGTCAGAAGAGCATGCGACTCTTGATCTTGAGGTCATAAGTGTGAGCCCCACCTTGAGCGTAGAGATTATGTAAATAAATGAAAAACTTAAAAAAAAAGAGGAAGAAGAAAGTCAGAAAATTCTCCTCTTGATATTCCATATGAGTTTGAGGATTGACTTTAACATTTTTGCAAAAACATTTTTGGGAATTTCGTAAGGATTGGATTGAATCTGGGTAGTAATGACATGTAAACAGTATTAAGTCTTCCAGGGCACCTAGCTGACTCGGTCGGTGGAGCATGGAATGTTTGATCTCAGGTTTGTGGGTTTGAGCCCCACGTTGGGTGTAGAGATTACTTTTAAAAAAGAAAAAAAAATAGTATTAAGTCTTTGTATCCATGAACACCGGTTATCTTTACATTTACTCAGGACTTTAAATTTCTTTCAGCAACATTTTATAGTTTTCAGTATGCAAGTTAGTTAAATGTACTCCTAAATTTTTTTTTAATGCTACTGGGATGGAAGTGATTTCTTATTTTCCTTTTGGGTTGTTTATTGCTGATATATAGAAACAAAAAAGATTTTTAAAAATTTTTTAGTATTTTTTTAACATGTAATGTATTATTAGCCCCAGGGGTACAGGTCTGTGAATTGCCAGGTTTACACACTTCACAGCACTCACTGTAGCACATACCTTCCCCAATGTCCATAACCCAACCACTCTCTCCCTACCCTCCCCCCAACCCTCAGTTTATTTTGTGAAATTAAGAGTCTCTTATGGTTTAGAAACACAAAGGATTTTATGTTAATCTTTTAACCTACAACTTTGCTGAATTCATTAGTTATAATAGCTTTCCTTGGGATTTTCTTTAAAATAGGATCATGTCAACTGTAAAAGGAGATAGTTTGACTTCTTTTCCAATTTGGATCTATACTTGACAATCTTGCATAATGTAAAACTTAGTGTTTCAGTTTTTTGTTTTTTAGAGTTTATTTGTCAGATGGAGATCACAGGTAGGCAGAGTGGCAGGCAGAGAGAGAGAAGAGGAAGCAGGCTCCCTGCCGAGCAGAGAGCTGGATGTGGGGCTTGATCCCAGGCCCCTGGGATCATGACCTGAGCTGAAGGCAGAGGCTTTAACCCACTGAGCCACCCAGGCGCCCCTGTAAACTGAGTTTTAAATTGATATATATTTATACTACTTATAGTGTGAGTTTGTATATACAGTGTATATTTATATCATTCATAATATATATTTATAATTTATAGTATATGTATTTAAATGTTTATTACAAGTTTTTTTCTCTGTTTTCCGTAGATTTGGCTAGCTGATTGGCTACTGAAAAATAATCCCAACAAGCCCAAGCTGTGTCACAATCTGTCTGCAGAAGAACCTTGAAGTTCCTCAAAGAACAAATCACTATCTTACTGTGAAAGACATGCTTCTACTTTAAAACAAAGCTTCCTAAGGGGTTTAAGTAACTATGTGCAAAATGAGTTATTTTTAAAGATGTTTTAAACAAATGACTGTGCTTTATGCATAAGATAGCATTACCTAAGGTAAAATATAGCTTTAGGGTATAATTTTTGTTCTCTAATAAGAAAATTGATTTTGTCCAGAAGTATTTAAAATGTTAATGAAACAAATGTATTTTTTTTTGTGATCATAAATGGGCATCTAGTTAGGAGAATGATTAATTTATATAAGACATGTTAGAAACAACTGAAGATGAAAAGATTATGTGCCAAGAAAAACCTGCTTTCAATTCCTGGGCCTCTTGACACAAAGGCAAGGGTAGTGGCCACTGAAAATGCCACTAGGACAGGGTAGCTGAAGACACATTTGATGGTGTGTTTACTATATAGAAAAAGACACTACAGGAGCGCCTGGGTGGCTCAGAGGGTTAAGCCTCTGCCTTCGGCTCAGGTCATGATCTCAGGGTCTTGGGATTGAGCCCCACATCGGGTTCTCTGCTCAGTAGGGAGCCTGCTTCCTCTCTCTCTGCCTGCCTCTCTGCCTACTTGTGATCTCTGTCTGTCAAATAAATAAATAAAATCTTTAAAAAAAGAAAAAAGAAAAAGACACTACGTTTAAAAACAAGTCTCACACAGTGTTCCATTTCAGTTTTTTTCTTCAAAAGGAGTAAAGAAATGAGCCAACCAAGCACTCCAAGACACAGAATTTTAGTTTTGATGTTTTCCTAAGCATATATTGTATATCTAGATGCATTTATAATACACAGTTCAGACAGTTTATTTTTAAAAAGTGTGTATAGGGAGGTTCAGTATCTTAGAAATGAGAAAAAAATTAGAACCCACTTCTTTATCATCATCATCTTCATCTTTATCATCCTCCTCTACTTCTCCATCTTCTCCCTCTTTTTCTTGTTTTCAGCTTTGAGGACTTTTTTTTTCTTGCCACCTAGACTTATTTTCATATTTGGTATTTCTGCAATTTATTTATTTTACCTGTTTTTCCTCGGCTTAGCAGCCTTCTTTTCCTAAGGCTGCTTGTCATCTACAGCAGTGTTACTTCACATCTCTCCCAGTACATCAACAGTGCCTAAGCCAAGATGTTCTCCGTGGATCTGGGGCAATAATTAACAAGAAAAAGAATCAAGGTAGCCTCTGTGGTACATCAGGATCCTTGGACTTTGTTTTTATTTCCCCTTTAGGAGGAATGTAGGTTTCCTTGTCTGCATTTGCCATGTCTTCAAAATTACCTTTCTCTTCTGTAGACATGGTCTTTTACCTCTCTTAGCTCTTTTGGTAAAACTCTGAGAAGGTGACTGAAGCATCTGGTTGCTTCTTATGGTCCTCCTGGAAAGTTTGCACAAAGAGTGCCTATGATGGCATTTTGCTTCTTGGTCTCTTAGGATCTTCTTTGCCTGTGTATAGTTATTTTTTTCAGTGTGACACAGAGTTACCCAGTGCACATCTGGCTCTCACCTGCCCTAGTCCTGTCTCTTTGGAGCTCAGTATACTGTAACAGCTGTCGTCAGCTTAGGGTATGACTTTAACAGTGATGTAACATTAAGTAATAGAAGACTGATAAAAGATGTTGCTGTATTATTATTTTTAAGTTAGCAAAGTAAGACATGGAATTTTTTTTTTTTTGTAAGTCCTAAATGGGGCTTGAACTCATGACCCCAAGTCACATGTTTTACCAAATGAGCCAACCAAGCACTCCAAGACACAGAATTTTAGTTTTGATGTTTTCCTAAGCATATATTGTATATCTAGATGCATTTATAATACACAGTTCAGACAGTTTAGTTTAAAAAGTTTAAGTATATATAAGTTTAAGAAGCAACTAGAAAGGGGCGCCTGGGTGGCTCAGTGGGTTAAAGCCTCTGCCTTCAGCTCAGGTCATGATCCCAGGATCCTGGGATCGAGCCCCGCATCAGGCTCTCTGCTCAGCGGGGAGCCTGCTTCCACCTCTCTCCCTCTGCCTGCCTCTCTGCCTACTTGTGATCTCTGTCTGTCAAATAAATAAATAAAATCTTTAAAAAAAAAAGCAACTAGAAAAATTTAGAAGATGGGCTGATCTACAGGACAGATGCCCCCATCTTCTCAACATATTGGTGTCTTGAAAAAAAGGGACCACTTTAGACTTAAAGAGACTTAAGATAAATAATCAGAACCAATACTAGTTTCTCGACTGGACCCTGGTTTATTTTATTTTATTTTTTTAAAGACTTTATTTATTTATTTGACAGAGGGAGACACAGCGAGGGAGGGAACACATTCAGGGGGCCTAGGAGAGGGAAAGCAGACTTCCCACCAAGCAGGGAGCCCGATGTGGAGCTCGATCCCAGGGCCATGGGATCATGACCTGAGCCAAAGGCAGACGCTTAACGACTGAGCCACCCAGGCGCCCCTAGACCCTGGTTTAGATGGAGAAGCTGCAAAGGACCTTTCTGAGACAACTGGGAAAATTTGAATCCAGGTTGAGTATTAGATGAGATGAAAATGTATTGTCTTGGAAAGTAAAGATTGTTAACTGGAAAAAACACATTATGAAGCAATATGCACAGCATGATCTCCTTGATGAAAAAAATACATATATGTATATATGTAGGGTATGATATGGAAGGATACCCACCTGTTATATAATTATTATATAATCTCTGGAAGGTGGGAATATGCTTTTTTGTTTTTTGTTTTTTTTTCTTATAAAGATTTTATTTATTTATTTGACAGACAGAGATCACAGGCAGGCAGAGAGAGGGGAGGGGAAAGAGGCTCCCCGCTGAGCAGAGAACCCCATGCGGGGCTCCATCTTGGGACCCTGGGATCATGACCTGAGCCGAAGGCAGAGGCTTTAACCCACTGAGCCACCCAGGCACCTCTTTGTTGTTTTTTGATTTTTTTAAATTTTTGCTTAGCAGGGCACCTGGGTTGTTCAGTTGGTTAAGCATCTGCCTTCAGCTCAGGTCAGGATCCTAGGGTCCTGAGATTAAGCCCCACATTTTCAGGCTCCCTGCTTCTCCCTCTCCCTCTGCTGCTCCCCACTGCTTGTGCCCTCTTGCTAGCACTTGTTCTCTCTCAAAAATCTTTTTAAAAATAAATTTTTACTTAGCTGTATTTAAAATTTTTCTGCAGTGTTCATGTTAAACTGCTTTTGCAATTTTTTCTAAGGTTTAAAAAAAATCCACTCGAGCATCCAACTCTGGATTTCATCTCAGGTCACGATCTGAGGGTCTTGGGATCAAGTCTGCTTGAGGATTTCTCTCCTTCTCCTTCTGCCCCTGCCACTGTTCTCCCTTTCTCTCTCTCTCTCTCTCTGAAATAAATAAATCTAAAAAAAGTTAGGCGCTTAACCAACTGAGCCACCCAGGCCATCCTAAAAAAAATAAACATCTTAATGGATGCCAACTTAAAAGGGCTGGCAATATTTCTTTATTAATAGGCTACCTATTGCCAAGATGTTTTACAAGTTCTTAGTGCTGGCGTATATATGAATTCCTCCTGAGACTGATATGCTTGCTATATTTCAAAACAGCTTTGGCATCAGTATTGGGAAGACAAACCAAAATCTTAGTAACAAAGATAAGTTGTAGATTGTTGTATTTTGAGCAGTGGCCAAGAGCACGTAGGAAAAAGCAAATAGTTTTTACAATGAGATTTAGGTGTGACAGGTTCAGGTGGTCATTTCCTCCCCAAGAGGTATACTCTTGCCTAAAAAAGAGGCAGCATTGTATATGGCAGAAAAATTCCACACCAGAAATCAGCTCCAGTTTCCAAACCTACCATTTGTTTTTTTAAAATGGAGTGGGGAGGGGGTGGCACCTGGGTGGCTCAGTTGGTTAGCATCAGTCTCTTTGATTTCCACTCAGGTCATGATCTCAGGGTCTGGAGATAGAGCCCCATGTTGGGCTCCACCCTCAGAGCGGAATCTGCTTCTCTCATTCTCCCTATCCCTCTGCCCCTCCCTCCACTTGTGCTTGTGGATGCACACACTCTCTCTCTCAAATAAATAAAGTCTTTTTAAAATGGAGGGGGAAAGAGAAAGCAGACTCATTTGAGATAAATTTTGGAGATGGAATGGACAAAAATACATGCACATGGAAAGATTTATAGTTAGCTATTGCATTCTTTAATTTTAGACACATTTGAGGTAATTATTTCATGGGTCACAACTGCAAAGGAAAACAGGAAGACTGCCTTCTTGTTTACTTCCTGGGTAACTGGAGAGGGGAGAAGACCATGTTCTGATGTACTAAAAGGTAGTACCAAAGTACTATTATGCACACATTTGTCCTTGTTAAGTGCTAGTGATTTCATGCATGTCTCTCACACTGAATGATAATGTGGTATCCTTATTAACCAAGATAGATCACTTATTTCCTTTCTCCAGGACTCAAAGAGACCAAAGAAAAAAACAAGCAAGCATGCAATTCTGTAATGACTTGGAACTAAACAGTTCAGCTATTTCTTTACTTCTGTACACATGTAGATCTGGGATGGCATCTAGAAGCTCCCCATGCCTGTTACTGCTCTTATACTTAGCCAGGAAACATGGTACATAATGTCCCACCTGGGCGTACCTACCTCAGCTTTGTTTGGGGGATTCTGAAGTGCAGAATATTGTTTGAAGGAGAAAGTTCAGGGCAGTCGTGTGTTGGTCCTGGCAGAAGGGTGCCACAGATGAGCATGATCTGAAAGTGTCACAGATACTTTGGACAAGCACTTACCCAGCTCAGAAATACTGCTACTTCTTTTATGCAGTTAACTCTTTCTAAGAACTATTTACATTAAGTTTTGACTTTTGATTCAGAGATGGCTCAATTCTTTGTTTGCTCTTTCTCTGACTTCAGATGCTTTTCCTGGATTATTTTTGTTAGTCCCCTCACTAACAACAGTCCCTATCCTAATTTTATGCCTTTATTTTAGATCCCTAATTGCTTTCCAAAAGGTAATTAAATCTCAGAAACTGGAGCACCTGGCTGGCTCAGCCAGTTAAGTGGCTGCCTTG